CTGAGCTGTCAGCACAGAGCCTGACACGAGGCTCAAACTCAACGCCCGTGAGATCATGACCTGAGCCGAAGTCGGACGCTCAACCAACTAAGCCACCCAGGCACCTCCTAACTTGTATTTTTTAATAAAATCACTCTGACTACTATGTTGAGAATAGATATTTAATCTCTCAATGCCTCAGTGTCCCCAGCTATGAAATAGGGATAATTGTTTGGATACCTCAAAAACTTACTGCATGGACATAATGAGGCAACACACAGAAAGTGCTTGAGATAGATACATAATGAGAATTCCATAAATGTTAGTGATTGCTGTTCTTTTTTAACAAGTTTTTTTAATGTTTATTTATTTTTGAGAGAGAGAAAGAAACAGAGTGTGAGCAGGGGAGGGGCAGAGAGAGAGAGAGACAGAGAATCCGAAGCAGGCTCCAGCTCTGAGCTGTCAGCACAGAGCCCAATGCGGGGCTCGAACCCACAAACCATGAGATCATGACATGGGCTGAAGTCGGGCTCTCAACCGACTGAGTCACCCAGGTGCCCTGCGATTGCTGTGGTTCTAACAGGGCCTACAAGGTCCAGAAGGGGAGGGGCATGAGGTCACAGGGATGCATCCTGGCAGGTAGGGGAAGCTAGGATAGGGACTCTGCCTCCTCCTGGCTAGGGGTGTTGAGCATGGAGAGAGGAGACTGACCTTGACCCTACTCTGAGACAGATTCGCCACTTGAGAGAGAGAGGCATGGAGTTCTTGGGTGTTCCATCAACATACTACAAACAACTGCGGGAGAAGCTCAAGTCTGCCAAGATCCGAGTGAAAGAGAACATTGATGTCCTGGAGGTGAGGCGAGTGCAGGATCCTTGAGTTTGAGATGGGGAGAATGAGCCCTGAGTTTCATCTTGCCTCACAAATATTGTCTAAGCCTCTACCCTGCATCAGGCACTGGGACACAAGAGGAAAACCAGACTGGGTCCCTGCCATCATGGGACTTGCAGTCTAGCGGGGAGACAGATAACAAACAAGTAATAACACAAACACCATCAGAGAGAGAGTTGGTGCTGTGTAGAAAGTTAAAACAGGCTACGACAGAGAATGATCTGGGGCTACTGCACCAGAGGTGATCTAGGAGGGCCTCTCTGAGGAGGTGACATTTCAGTGAACTCGAAACAATAAGCAGGAGATGGCTGTGTGAAGGGCTAGGGGAAGAGCAAGCACAAAGGTCGTGAGTCAGGAGCAAGTTCCAAGTGTCTGAGGAATGGAAATAAGGCAAGAACGGATGAAAGGAAGTGTTTGAGGACTGGCCTAGGTCATAGAGGTAGGCTGGGGCTGATTCCTCTTGTAGATTCTTTAGGAGTTTGGATCTTGTTCTTCTATGGCCAGAAACCAATGGAGGGTTTGGGGGTTTTGTTTGTTTGTTTGTTTTTGTGTGTGTTTGTTTGTTTGGTTTGTTTTTAACAGCCTTATCCATATATAGGTCACATAACATATAAGGCACTCTTTTTTTTTTTTTAATTTTTTTTTCAACGTTTATTTATTTTTGGGACAGAGAGAGACAGAGCATGAACAGGGGAGGGGCAGAGAGAGAGGGAGACACAGAATCGGAAACAGGCTCCAGGCTCTGAGCCATCAGCCCAGAGCCCGACGCGGGGCTCGAACTCACGGACCGCGAGATCGTGACCTGGCTGAAGTCGGACGCTTAACCGACTGCGCCACCCAGGCGCCCCAGGCACTCTTTAAAAGTATACAATTCAGTGGTTTTTTAACTACCCACTATGTTGTGTAGCTATCATCAAAGTCAATTTCAGGGCGTTTTTCATCACCCTAAAAAGAAACCTCACACCCCTCATCACCTTCCTCCCTGCAGCCCTAGGCAAGCACTCACCCATCTTCTGTCTCACTGGATTTGCCTCTTCTGGACATGTCATATAAATGGCATCGTACAATATGTGATCTTTTGTGTCTGGCTTCTTTCACTCAGCATTATGTTTTCAGGGTTCATCTGTGTGGTAGCAGGTGTCAGTGCTTCTGCCTTTTCGTGGCTGAATCGTAGTCCATTATATGGATATATCACATTTTTCTTATCTGTTCATCAGTTGATGGACATTGGCATGTTTCCACTTTGGGGCCATTGTAAGTAATGCTGCTGTGATCATTCTCATACGAATTTTTGTGTGGACATGTTTTTCATTCTCTTGGGTTTATACCTAGGACTGAAATTGCTGGGTTATATGGTAACCCTATGTTTAACCTTCTGAGGAATCCGCAGTTTTCCATAAAGGCTGCACTATTTTACATTCCCACCAAGCAACATATGAGAGTTCTGACTTCCACTGGAGGATTTTAAACAGGGGAATGACACCATCCAGTTTTTTAAATTATTTTTTATGTTTATTTATTTTGGGGAGGGAGAGACACACACAGCATGAGCAGGGGAGGGCCAGAGAGAGAGGGAGACACAGCAAGCTTCAGGCTCCACACTGTCAGCACAGAGCCAGACGCAGGGCTGGGAACCCATAAATTGTGAAGATTATGACCTGAGCTGAAGTTGGTTGCCTAGCCGACTGAGCCACCCAGGCGCCCTGACACCATCTGATTTTTGAAAGATCCCTTGGATGTCTGTGGGGAGGATGGATTGCAAGAAAGCAAGAGGGAAACATGAGGACCTGTGTAGAGGTGAGGCGACTGGGGTGGTCCAGGACAGCCTTGATGGTGGCTGGCATAGGGACTGAGGCAGGTGGGTGGTAATAGGACAATTTAGGGATCTATTTGGAAGTGTCTGGAACAGCGGGAGAATGGGGTCTTTTCTTGGCTTTCAGGTGCAGGAGCTCTTATGGACTTTCTTTTTTTGGTTTTTATTTTTTAAATGTTTATTTACTTTGAGAGAAAGAGAGGGAGAGAGAGAGAGGTGGGGAGGAGGAGGGAGACAGGGAGAGAGAGAATCCCAAGCAGGCTCTGTGCTATCAGCTCAGGCCCGGAGGCGGGGCTCGATCCTACAAACCATGAGGTCATGCCCTGAGCAGAAATCAAGTCAGATGCTTATCCCACTGAGCCACCCAGGCATCCCCTTAGGGACTTTCTAAAGACCCCACCGTGCCACATTAGACGGGTGAGCCAGCCGCCCCCCTAACCCTGCCCCCTGTCTCCTACCTAGGAGCTGAAAATCCTGGTAGACTACGATGAGAAAGGCTACCTCTTGCAGATCTTCACCAAGCCCGTGCAGGATCGTCCCACGCTCTTCCTGGAAGTCATCCAGCGCCACAACCACCAGGTACCACCTGTCTCCGACAGCCCTCGGGAGCATGCAGGGTAGCATGGCTGGCTTTCTGGGCCCGCAGCTCACCTTCTCTCTCCCGCTCCAGGGTTTTGGAGCCGGCAACTTCAACTCACTGTTCAAGGCTTTCGAAGAGGAGCAGAACCTGCGGGGCAACCTTACCGACTTAGAAAACAACGGGATAGTGCCGGGCATGTAGGCCGCGGGTGGACCTAGCGAGGCCCCGCCCACCTGCGGGCGCCCGGTGGGCCACGCCCCCAGACCTGGAACACGCCCACCCCACCACGTACCCTGAACTGCAAGCCCTCCTTACTGGCCACTCCCTTAGGCCCCGCCCACCAACCCGAAGCACCAGGCTCTGACCACGCCCCCTCGGTCGGGCAGCTCCTTGCTCCCGCCCTCGGAATAAAGCGGACCGGGGTCCCGTGCGGGGTCGTGGTGTTTGTGCCTGGCTGGAGCAGTGACGCCCTTTGGCCTGCAGGGGGTGCTCAGGGCGTCAGCACTGCCGGAGGCGTCTGCGTTCTAGCTTCGCAGCCCAGAGCAAGCGAGGAAGGCACGGTGCAAGCGTTTTGCTAAGAGAGACCTTGCAGGCCAGGGAGAATTCTGGAACCGAGGAGGGCAGAGGGCTGACACTCTAGAGGGGAAGACAGTATCATTTCATAGAGTGGTAAATACTATGAAGATAAAGCGGGTGATGATGAGATTGAGCAGAGGTAAAGCTGGGAGGGGGTACTAATTTCAACCGAGAGAAAGCCCTTCTGGAGAGGTGACATTTGGGAGCCAGCCATGGGGAAATCTGGGGAAAGAGCATTCCAGGGAGAGGGAAAAACAAGGGTGGAGGCCTTGAGGTGAAACCGCGCTGGACAGCGTCCTATCTGATGGCTTTACGATCTCTGTCCCAGGTTTCCTGCCCTGTGCCCAAACTTACGGACCTCAGAGAGAGGAGGATGTTAGCCAAGGGACTCCCGCTCAGCAACCTAGAGACATGGTTCCCAGCCTGAGAAGTAAAGCAGGTGGGAAGGATCGGAGCCCCTCAGCTTCTGCCCTCCGGTTTTAAAAACCAGAGAAAGGGGCGCCTGGGTGGCTCAGTCGGTTAAGCGTCCGACTTCAGCCAGGTCACGATCTCGCGGTCCGGGAGTTCGAGCCCGGCGTCAGGCTCTGGGCTGATGGCTCAGAGCCTGGAGCCTGTTTCCGATTCTGTGTCTCCCTCTCTCTCTGCCCCTCCCCCGTTCATGCTCTGTCTCTCTCTGTCCCAAAAATAAATAAACGTTGAAAAAAAAAATTAAAAAAAAAAAAAAACAGAGAAAGGAGGAGCACCTGGGTAGCTCAGTTGGTTGAGCACCTGACTTTGGCTCAGGTCATGATCTCCCAGTTCAGGAGTTCGAGCCCCACATCTGGCTGGCTGCTGTCAGCCTGTCAGCGCAGAGCCCAGCTTCAGATCCTCTGTCCCCCTCTCTTTGCCCCTCCCCTGCTTGCGCTTTCCCCACAAATAAATAAACATTTAAAAGAGAGAGAGAGAGAAAATAAAAACCAGAGAAAGGAAGATGATAGAAGTCAGGGCTTCTGGGATCATGAACTTCAGAAATGAAAAGAACAACACTGAGAAGCCAGAGGAACAATGGCAGCCCCAGGCCCATGCTGCTAGTTAAAAACTATCCTCCCTCTATTTTCCTGTGGCTTATGCAAAGCGGAGAAATTCTGTATCTCAGAAGTTTACAAAATGGTGGCTCATGGGCCAAATCTGGCTCACAGATGTATTTTATTTTGTCTGTATAGTTATACATTTTCTCAATTTTTTATTGTAGAGAGAGAGAGTGCACTCGAGTGGGGAGAGGGGCAGAGAGAGAGAGAGAGAGCAAGAAAGAGAGAGCGAGAGAGAGAATCTTAAGTAGGCTCCACACTCAACGTGGAGCCCAGTGTGGGGCTAGAGCCCATGACTCTGGGATCATGACTCTGAGCTGAAATTAAGAATCGGACGCTCAACTGATGGAACCACCCAGATGCCCCTGTCAGTATAGTTTTAAATAAATTTGAATCATTTCGGAAAGTAGGATTATTTCACACATAAATTCTAGGATTCTGTTTCTTCTCGGAACAACTAGGCAGTTCTGGGCTTGCCTTCCTATGCAATAATCAACTAGTGCCAAGTGGTGCATGCCTCCTTGGACGGGACATGGGCCGACAGACCCTCATCGGCTGAGCACAGACTAGGAAGTGGGTTTGCCCAGGTTCACACTCCAGATCGGCTACGTGTTAGCTCTGTGACCTTGGGCAAGCTACGTGACCTCTCAGTGCCTCAATTTTTCTCATCTTAAACAATACCCACCTCCTAGCACTGCTGTACGTTTAGTATCAGGCTTTTAAAAGAGTGCCTGGTGTGGTGCCGGGGCTATAAGTTTGCTGTTGTTATTTTGAGAGAGGGGCCTGGGTGAAGGGTCTTGCCCAAGTCTACCTGGCACCTCCCCTCCCCCACTCCACCCTGGTCTGCATGGAGATGGCTCAAGTTGGGACTCCCTTTCTGGTCCCCACAGCGGGACCAGAGAAGAAAGGACTTGTCCTTTGGGACTGAGAGGCAGAGAGGTGAATGGATTTGAAGAATAAGGGAGGAGAACTGTCCCACATGGTAGTGGAGGGAAAAGAAGTCCAGGGTTTTTCAGATTTGAGTTTAGCAACAATCCGCAGCAGTGGTGGGTGGAGGGGAGGAACAGAAGTGCCATGGACTAAGGTGGAAATTATGGCAAGAGAGGCAGGTGCAAGAGGAGAGATGAAGGAGACTCAGATTTGGATGTGTTTCCATTCTGTGCCTTGAGCCACATGCCCTGGGTTGTCCTCAGGCTGCCCTGCAAGGCCCTACAGCATTGGTCCCCCCTCTCCCCAGTGGGGTACCAGCCAGACCTCGTCTCCTCTACTCCCCCTTCCTTCATTCAGCAGAAGCTCCACAGATCTGCTGGTCCCCAAATGCCCTAGGAAGCATTAGCCTCAGGACCTTTGCACTCATGGTTCCTTCTGCCTGGAATACCCTCCCTCCAGGTGTCCACTGTATTTAAAATCCCCCCCGCCCCAACTGATCTCCCCTTTCTGTAGCTGTTTTTCTCCTTTATCATGGCATTTATTTTTTTTTTAAGTTTACTTGAGAGAGAGGGAGAGAGAGAAAGAGAGAGACAGAAGGAGTGGTAGTGGGGCAGGGAGAGAGAATCCCAAGCAGGCTTTGCACTCTCGGCGTGGAACCCGATGTGGGGCTCAAACTCACAAACTGCGAGATCGTGATCTGAGCCGAAATCAAGAGTTGGACGCTTAACTGAGCCACCCAGACACCACCACCACATTTATTCTTTATGTCTGCTTGGATCACTCGCAAGAACACGATCACATAAAGACAGGGAATGTGTTTTCTTCGCTCCTATACCCCCAGCACTTAGAGGACTGTCTGACACATAGTAGGTGCTCAGTGATGCCGGTGAATGAACAGAAGAATGGCCAGCAGGTGCTCTTTTCCTTTCCTGGCTCAGTTCCGCCCTCAGCCTTTTCCATCCCCCCCCCCGCCAAGTCCACCTTCAGTGGTGCTCACCTGTCCGGATGTACATTTCCGAAAAACAGCCCGCCACCGAGGACCCCTCCCCCGCCTTCGTTTCTTCTGCTCACGAGTGAGGCTGCAAAGAACATTCTTGTACATATTGTTGTCTGCTTGTGGCTTTCAGGCGCAATTGCAGACAGTGGAACATTTGTGCAGGTTTATGTGCACTTTGAAGCTGGTTGTATCTGATTTTTCCTCCTAAACTTTGCGGCAATTTAAGCTTACACTAATGGTGCACGAATGACCCCTGCCCCGGCCTCGCCAACATTGACCGTTTCGTGGTATTGTTTGCATTTCTCTAGTAAAGAGTGAGGTGTGGCATTTTTTCAGTCGTGCTGCTTACTGCTGAGGTTTTGCATCCGTCCTTCTCCCAGGTAAGTGGATATCGTCTAACAAACTCTCCACGGGCCCCTGGGCTACCCCCCCACTGGATCAGGCAGGGTTGAGACCCACGGGGCACAGAAGATCTGGGATACCATAACACTGGCTACACTTCATGCTGCTCAGCTTGTGACTATTTTATTAGTTCCTTTCCCCTCAAATGCAAATTAGAGGGCTATCTCCTTAAAGGGAGCATTACACGTTTTTGAGATACCTACCAGTTTTCCAATTAGCAATAGGATATTTGAGCTTGTTTCCTAATTGCAAACCTTTAGCAGTGTCAGATACCTAAGGTTTTTAAAGTTCTAGAAACAAAACTTGAAGGCAAAACAAAAACAAAAAGCAAACACACACA